CTGCGGGGAACTCTGCAAAAAACGCATCTTCGCACGGGCAGCCCGTGCGTTGGCCAATTTTTCCTTCTTCTCCTGATATTCTCTTTTTAACCTTTATTGGCTTTTTGCTTTTGTTAGTGACCAATGTTTCGTAGTCTCCACATCATAAACTCTTTTTAAAAGCACATAAACCATCGAATAACTTATATTCTTTTTTTTTCCATAAATTCAACACATTCTCCGCCAAAATCTTTTTCCATCTAAAGGAGCATGCAGCACAGTATTCAGTTCCGCACCACCGAATATCTTTTTGTAATTGACATACATGATGTTGGCAAGAAGCTGATATTCTCTTATCCAATCCAGCAGCGAGTTATTTCAAATTTAGCACAGTAAAGAGAAACTTGTAAACATACTTCTTCGAATGTTTTTCGCTTTGCGTAGTTGTCCGGGAAATCATCTTTGCCGTATTTTTCACGCCACAGATCAAGCGCTTTTAAATAAAGAATCAAGTATGGCGTATGCGAATGCGCTTCATAATCCATTGCATCAAGATCTGTTGCTTCCACTAGATCAATCAGTGCTGGAAACGGACGGTCAAGTCTAAATAACCACAAATGTCAGTGGAATAAGCCATCATTTCGCAGCTACAGGCTTCACTCAGTTCTATAAATGAAAGCAGAGTTATTCAGAACACCCTATTCTACTGTTAATTAAACGGGCTATATATGGCAACTCCTCTGTTTTTCTTCAAAAAAGAAGCGACTGGGAATCGCCCATAAAGAGAGAAGTCTGGCATCGATGACTGTCCGATGATTCCCTTTTCGAAGGTTGCCCGGAAAGTAAGCAAAGGCATTCTAACTTTCAGAATTGCTAGGCAGAGCAGTACCAGTCGAATCAAGCCAACATCATAAACAAACCAGTTACCAAATTGGGTATGGAGTTAAGCAGAAGTATGGAAAATCGCCAAATTATATAAAGTCCTTTCCATTTTTAACAGAAAATTCTTTCCAGTTTCTGTTAAAAATTTTTGTTAAAAATTCTGTTAAAAATTTCCATTTTCCAAAATTTACTTTCTTTCCATTTTCTGTTAAAAATGGAAAGAAGGTCATATAATTTGGTGATTTCTTCCCATACTTTTGCTTGACACCTTACCCAAGTAGGTAACCGGTCTTATTTTATGGAAATGTAAAATATAACACCACTATTATATAAGGAGAAAAAGCTGGCGGTGGACCCATCCAGTCAAGAAACAATTCACAATAAGTGTCAGCAAGTTGCAGCACATTTCCTGAATTACTACAGTTTGAGGCTGGAGGAACAGTGTGACCAAGGAATTACACGCAAAGAAAAGAGCTCGGTCGTCCACCCAAAGACTGTAATAATAAGTAGGAGATGAACAAAGCGGATTACTGCATGGTATCTGTGCAATGTTAAGTGGCACAGTGAAAGCTGCTAATGTGATGCTAAGATCCTGCGCATGGCCTAAGTGAATTTATGCGACGGAAGTGGCCCTAAACAGAGATGTTATCAGCTCCATCAATGGGAAGA